CATCAAAATACAATTCAGTTCAATATGACAAATACGATGGACATAAAAACACAAGTCTTATTCAGAACAGATAACTGAAAATTTTAAAATGATCAGCCTTCCGTCTAACATGGTCACGCTGTCGTCACATGGGCGACGCTTTCATAACGTATTCCTAAAAGTTTGTGATTATTTTGAAATGAAAAAGAAAAAGAAAATGAAAAGAATTCTATTAGGTTCCAAAATTCTTATGTGTATGCTTGTCGAGCATCAATCTCGCTAAAAAAGGGGAAATATTAAAGAAACCAGGTCTAGTATTCACCGTGCGTAAGATGGATATTATACCTGCTTCATAAATCCTCCTGAGATTTTTATTATGAAAATATTTTAATACTTTCACGGAATCGAAATCGAAATTATGATCTGCTTTAGTTGTGTGTACAACTAAAGCATTGTTAAAATTACCGAGACGAATATCTCGTTTATGTTCGAAAACACGAGATTTTAAGGACCTACCTGTTTCACCCACATATTTTATTTATAATATTTTTTTATGCAGTATTTAAATTTAGCTTTAATTCCAATATTAAACCTTAACCACTGGGTGGTAGTTTCATCCTCGAGCATTGTTTGGTAAATCTCCCACCCCGTTCAACCAAATGGTTAACAAACTTAAATACTGCTGACCAGATTCGAAACATAGTGATTTCTGGGTGGCGATAGAATCATTTATTTTATTTTTTAAATTATTATAATATAGGCTCTACTTGTGTATGGAGCACTGTTTTGTTTTGTTTTGTTTTGTTTTTAAATAAAAACAAAAATACTAAAGAAATTCGGATCATCAATCGAACGGTTTTTTCCTATTATATCAATATATTTGCACACACACGCACGCACACACACACACACATATATATATATATATATATATATATATATATATATACACACACACACACATATATATATATATATAAAGTTCTTGTGCACTTTAAAAAATTTATAACTTTATTCGTATTTGTGATAGAAATAATTTGTAAAAAGGATTAGAAAGAAGTAAATCTATATTTTTTAAGGTTTTATTGAAATTTTATTTAAGTTTCCACATGTCCTCCATCATTAGCAATACAAAGGGTGATACGATTTTGCAGTTCACGGAAAACATTTGCCAACTTATTTACAGTAATGCCTGAAATCACATTAGTTATTTTAGCTATACTTAAAACTAGGTACATTAAACTTTATAACATTATATACAGTTTATTTCTATCGCAAATACAAAGAAAGTTATAATGTTTTAAAAGTTCACACGAACTTTATGTACACCTTGTGTGTGTGTGTATATATATATATATATATATATATATATATATATATATGATTAAATAAATTATAAACATTATGTCTGATTAATAGATAGAAATGACTTGGGAAATAAAAGTGATTCTCACTGTTCCAGTGCATTTCTTGCGTGGTTTGATTGCAATACACGGAAATATTCGTAAATATGAAAGGAATATGCTAAAAATAAGGAGACAGAATTTTTGTAATTGATTTAACCAGACATACCTGAAAGGGAATTTGCTGCCTAAATACACAAATATATATAAGTGATAGAAATTAGGAGGATTTGAGATAATTAAACAATTCATCGACAGCATCCACTACCGAGAATTGAAACCCGGACGGATATGTTATCAGGAAAACGTCATAGTAACTGTTCCAACAAGCCTCAGTGACGAAGTGGTGACGAATTAGACTCCATCGATCGTCCAATCCTTTCTGCATTCTGTTGACTTTTCTTCTAGACTCTATGAATTATCTCAAATCCTCCTAGTTTCTATCACTTGTATATCCTTGCTTGAACCGGCTTCTAATGCTCTGGATGGAGTGGCTTGGGGATAGTAGCCGTGGCTCGTGGGGGCACAGTCTTATGGGTAAATGAGAAACTCGGATGAGTTCTACCACGGAATATGTGATCGAGCGGCGCTATATCGATTCTGATTCGATACCTCTTCATCACCGAGGCCCGTTGGAACAGTTGATATATATATATATATATATATATATATATATATATATATATATATATATATATATATGTTATGAAGAACTTGGTAATCCGTCCGTATGGGTAATCCCAAAGAGGATGAAATCCTGAGAGCTCAATGTAAAACCAAAAAAAATATTTAAAGAAAAGAAGACCATTTCACCAGATTTACCATTCCAAAAGATAGACTTCAAAAACGAAATGAAATGAAGTGCTATTCGATGATCCGGCGTCCTTTTTGAAAGGACTCTGGTGAAAAAAACAATGTAATGGTACCTTAAAAGTGGTCTTTTTTTTTTTTATAATATATATATATATATATATATATATATATATATATATATATATATATATATATATAGTTGATATGACGTTTGCCTGATAACGTAACTGTCCGGGGGTTTCAATTCTCAGTAGTGGATGCGCACTGCTGATGAGTCCCAAAGATAGGACGAAACGCCGTCCGATGCTTTCTGTTGAGGTTTCTTGTAGACTCGATGAATTACTTAATTGTATATGTGCTTTGTTAAAGAAGGCTGACAAAGTACTGTGATTACGCTTTTTCCTCTGCTCATACAAGTGTTTCCTTTTCTGGACACAAAGGGTTCAAAAACTGTCCAAAAGTTCTACATGGCCGAGCAATTTCGGCTATACTTTTAGCCATTATCAAGGATGATTTTATTTTTACTTTTAGGTGAATGCTAAGATTATTCTGCTTGTATTTTCTACTATTATATTTCGGATGGAATCTGTTAGGTTTTCATGTGTATTTAAATATACGGACAACTTACGTTATACCTACCTCATTTGAACACTAATAATAATAATAATAATAATAAATGCTTTGTATAATAAATGATAATTTTTTGTAGATTTATATATTTTATACATATCCTAATTCAAGGTTCGTATACATAGAATAAGCTTCCAGTAACCAAAAACATTATTTTTTTAAAAAGTGCTCAATACAGAGTAGAACGAAAAATATTTATTTAAAAATAACATAAATATGCTATAGCCTCACTGCAGAAATAGCCATTTTGTTTCAACACTTCTGGTGTCTTGTCAAGAGATAGTGTTGCCAGTAAAAAAAACAAAAACAAAATTTTTTTACCAGCAACACCATCACTTGTCAAGACACCAGAAGTGTTGAAACAAAATGGCTATTTCTGCAGTGATGCTATAACATATTTATGTTATAATTTTTAAATATATATATTTTTTTAAATATATATTTTAAATATATATATATTTAAAAAATATATATGTATATTTAAAAATTATAACTTTTTTATAATTTTTAAATATATAAAATATATTTTAAATACAATGTGTGTATAAAGTTAGTGTGCATTTTAAAATATAACTTTAAAGTGCACACGAACTTTATGGACACCATATATATATATATATATATATATATATATATATATATATATATATATATATATATATTTAAATAAATATATATATTTAAATATATATATTTAAAAATTATAACATAAGTATGTTATAATATCACTACAAAAATAGACATTTTGTTTCAACACTTATGGTGTTTTGTGAAGTGACTGTGTTGCTAGTAAAAATTATACTTAAGTAATGATTTTTTAAATAAATTTTGTTTTTATACTTACAAAAATTATTTTAAATATAACTTGAAGAAGACAGACAAAGTCGAAACATTGTTAAACACTGTGTTTTTCTTTTCTTTTTCTTTGCTTAAATTACGATTTCTCTTAACTGTTGAAAAATATTGGAAGAGTTACGACAATCATTTTGAGTATTATTATTATTATTATTATTATTATTATTATTATTATTATTATTATTACAATCAGTTGAATCAAATTTATCCCGTCAGAAAAAAAAACAGTCTTTGCGGTTTCAATGCAATTAAAAAAATAATAAATCTGTTATTTTTCTAATAATTAAGACAGACACTTAAATTTAAATAAACATTTAAATTTAAGTGTCTGTCTTCTTCACATTATATTTAAAAAATTTCTAGTATAAAATATATAAATCTACAAAAAAATAAGTCTTAGTAAAAGTCTTAGTTGTTTGTCTTGTAATGTTCAAAGACTTATAAATTCTTTTTAGATTTACATATTTTTAAAAAATGTAACTTAAAGACAGACATTCTGTCGAAATATTGTTGAACATTGTTAAACACTGTGCTTTTTCTTTCCTTTTTCTTTGCTTAAATCGCGCTCTTCTCTTAAGTGTTGAAAAATATTGGAAGATTTACGACAATCATTTTATATATTATTATTATTATTATTATTATTATTATTATTATTATTGCTGTTGTTGTTGTTGTTGTTGTTGTTTTTGTTGTTACTATTATTATTCATATTGAATGAGTGAGTAGAAGGCTAACAAAGTGACATAATTGAATCCCAGTATACTCATTTTGGCCATTAGTATGATAAAGGATTAGCAATACAGGCAAATATGTGCAATATGATGACAGGCTTTGATTAACTCAACGCCTAATCTTTCTAAGTGGGCCCAAGTTTGGGCAAAATCCATTTAGCTCAGCCGGTCTCTGATTGACGTTGTTCCCAAGTCTCTTGATGTGATTCACAAGTCGTCTTGTCGACCTCACAATTTACACTTAAAAATATAACAACTCAAAAGTCTCTCTAAAATGTACAATTCTTCAACATTGAATCATTTTTGCGTATTTACCGATGACCAATTTACCCGCAAATATAGAAGCCGGCTGGGAGATATGTGTTTTAATGGTCACCATCTTTAGATAGATTGTCAACCAAGCTTAAAAGGCTATTTGCTGATTAGTACACAACACATTTCTAAAGAGGTTGCCAAAACAAGGCTAAACATTCTAATCTGCCTTATTATTTAATCCATAGTTTAGGAGAGGACAATATGTGTATATTCACAAAAGTAAATGTAACGAATTTGCCAATTATCCTTTCAGAGTTGCTAACCGTTATACTACAAGTAAATATAGATAGATAGACAGATAGATAGATAGATAGATAGATAGATAGATAGATAGATAGATAGATAGATAGAAAGAAAATGATCGGACTAGATAGATAGATAGATAGATAGATAGATAGATAGATAGATAGATAAGAAACTGAGATAGATATGAGTAGTAATATATGTTTTGGAGAGATTACGAGGATAGCAAGAAAAAATTGATAGATAGATAGATAGATAGATAGATAGATAGATAGATAGATAGATAGATAAATAGATAAGGAACTGCGATAGAGATAGATATGCGTAGTAATATATAATTTAGAGAGATTACGAAGATAGCGAGAAAAAATTTATATAGATAGATAGATAGATAGATAGATAGATAGAAACAGAATGAGATAGATAGATAGATAGATAGATAGATAGATAGATAGATAGATAGATATGAACAGAATGGGATAGATAGATAGATAGATAGATAGATAGATAAATAGATAGATAGATAAGGATAGAGATAGATATGAGTAGTAATATATAATTTAGAGAGATTATGAAGATAGCGAGAAAAAAATTATATAGATAGATAGATAGGAACAGAATGAGATAGATAGATAGATAGATAGATAGATAGATAGATAGATAGATAGATAGATAGATAAGGAACTGCGATAGAGATAGATATGAGTAGCAATATATAATTTAGAGAGATTACGAAGATATCGAGAAAAAATTTAGATAGATATGAACAGACTGAGATAGATAGAGAGTTAGAGCGATTAAAAGCATGTCATAGAATGATAGACAGAGAGATATTATTTAAAGGCTGTGCCAAAAGTACCTGACAGAGCTTATGAATCCACTGCTGAAGGTATGAGCCAACCATCATAGTCATTATAACCGAAAAGGGGAATGAATAAATTCATCTGGGGAAACAATAACGAATTATCGAACAGTGAGTGATACAATACCCAACACAACACAACAGTCGGCTTATGTGTCATGTTCTACTGAATGTCGCTGCCTCACAGAAAGTTTTTTTTTAAAATTATGATGACTTTTTAAGGACATGTTACCCTTCATTTTGCCACCAATATATATATATATATATATATATATATATAGATAGATAGATAGATAGATAGATAGATAGATAGATAGATATAGCTCGTGCCGTGGATCGGAGAAGATCTTGCCGTGGCTTGGAAAAACTCGTGCCGTCGCTATAGATATCTCCAAAGCGTTTGATAGGGTTTGGCATGCCGGCCTTCTTTGCAAGCTTCAGAGTTATGGAATTACATGGTCGATTGTTCGACTTAATACAATCATTCCTGTCAAATCGTGCATTGAGGGTTGTTCTCAACGGATTCTTTTCCAGCTCCTATCCCACGAACGCAGGTGTTCCCCAAGGCTCTATCCTAGGCCCCACTCTGTTACTTATCTTCATCAACAATCTTTCTGATATCATAGATTCACAAATAGCCATCTACGCAGAAGACACTACAGTTTACTCCTGTCTCCAAAACAAATCTAGTGTCGTTGACAAAATTAACCTGGCCGTTCGTCTAGAAAAGGACCTCCAATCGGTTGTGGACTGGGGCAGGAATTGGCTGGTTAACTTTAATGCCTTAAAAACAAAACCGCTCTCTATTAATCACCAGAGAGAACCCTCCCTGCCTTCCATTAGAATGTCTGACGCTCAACTCCACGAGTGCACCTCTTTGCAACTGCTCGGTCTCACATTGACTGCTGACCTGAGATGGAACAAATACATTGTCAATAGCGTCCACCGCAAGGAAAGCTGGCTCCCTGTGCCGCGCCAGGAAATTTTTCTCGCCGAAGGCGATCCTTCAAATCTACAAATCAACCATTCGCCCTTGCATGGAGTATTGTTGCCATATATGTTCTGGAGCCCTTTCTGTTTGTCTCAAGGTCCTTGATAAAATCCAGAGACAGATATGCAATGAAATGTCGATGTCTGACGTTTCGTTTTAAACCGAAACGTCAGACGTCGACATTTCATTCATTTTAACTACATTTAAGGATTTTGTTTGTTTTTTCAAAATTTTTTCTTCATTCTGTCGGATTTATATCCATTTACACTTGCTTTATATATATATATATATATATATATATATATATACTTTAAAAAATCAGGAGGCCAGTGGAATCCGCTAATCGCCTGAGGATACCATAAGGTTGAAACCAAGAAACCAAGTCAGCAGATTCAACTGACCTCCTGATTTTAAAGTCAAAATCTCTACGTTATTTTTACTTTTAATTTTATTTTTTCACACGTGTATTGAGCACTTTTGAATAATTCTTGTTCCTGGTCTGATTCACCTCTGACCATTAACTTATATATATATATATATATATATATATATATATATATATATATATATGCATAACAGGATATCATCTTTGATGGTGAACATCTCTGTTGTAATGTCCATATAACCACATCTGATGATGGCTCATGTGAGCTGAATGCTTAGATTGAGGAACAGCATAATAAAAAATATAGCCAAATGGTGGACAGTTTTTGTCTTTATTTTCTCCCGAAACTAAAAGCCACTATACGAAGCTTAGAACGGCTCATGATCAAACATAGTTGTCTGTTATATTTAACAAATATATATATATATATATATATATATATATATATATATATCCCTAATAATGTATACACTCTTTGAATCATTATAACTTATTCAATTTATGTATTTTGACTTGTAAATAAGATTAATACAAGAAGAATACACATTTAAAGAATTTGAGAGTAAAATATGCAAAAAACATAGAAAATTAACTTTAATAAGATAAAAATCTACTGCAATGGCAGAATGTTCATATAATGATGAGTTCACATCAAGTTTTCAAAATGGTTGCCGTTCTGTTTAATACACTTTTCATATCTTGAAGAAATAGACCTACAAACGTCCAGTATTATTTCCTCTGGTATTTGAGCACATTCTTCTTCAATTGCTACTCTCATTTCAGCAATTGTTTCAGGTTTCTTGCTGTAAACTTTGTCTTTTAGAAATCCCCACAAAAAGAAATCCAAGGCTGTCAAATCTGGTGATCTAGGTGGGTATTCATCAGTCCCTCTTCTTCCAATCCAACTGTTTTGCATATTTTCATCCATATAAAAAATGTATTATTAACTATTAATATTTAAAGAGTGCATACATTTTTGGGACACCCTTTATATATATATATATATATATATATATATATATATATATATATATATGCGTTTTAATAGCTCCATAAATATGAAGAGAAACGAAAAATAATTCTATAACTATTTGTGCTTCATTCTTTTCTTTTATAATTCTATCGATATAATTTCTTTCACACGCGCTTTCTCTCGCTCTCTTTCTCTCTGTCTCTCTCCGTCACTCTTTCTCTCTCTCTCTCTGTCTCTCTCTTTCTCTCTCTCTTTGTTTCTCTGTGTGTAATGTTTTTTTTCTTTTCTTTTTCTGGTGATGTACCGATATACGTGAGTCGACACCTGTCTATACTGAGTCTTTTTCTGCTCCAGTAAATTTAATTTTATCTTTTAACAATTGCAACAATCATTTCTTTACACAATCAAAATTAAACAAACTTTCTTTGTTGGTAACTCTTTCTTTCTATATTTCTTTCTTCCCATTTTGTCTTTCTTTCTTCTTTCTTTCTTTCTTTCTTTCTTCTTTCTTTCTTCTTTCTTTCTTTCTTTCTTTCTTTTAGTCCGAATTTTCAGCTTTTCTTTTAATAGTTTCTGTCCTTCTTTTCAATTTCTTTCTTTCTTTCTTGTTTCTTTCTTCTCATTTTGTCTTTTTTTTTCTTCCTTTCTTCTTTCTTCCCTCTCATTTTGTTTTCTTTTTTTCTTTCTTTCTTTTCTTCTTTCTTTCTTTCTTTTTTCTTTTAGTCCGAATTTTCAGCTTTTCTTTTAATAGTTTCTGTCCTTCTTTTCAATTTCTTTCTTTCTTTCTTGTTTCTTTCTTCTCATTTTGTCTTTCTTTCTTCCTTTCTTCTTTCTTCCCTCTCATTTTGTCTTTCTTTCTTTCTTCTTTCTTTCTTCTTTTCTTTTTTCTTTTCTTTCTTTTTAGTCCGAATTTTCAGCTTTTTCTTTTAATAGTTTCTGTCCTTCTTTTCAATTTCTTTTTCTTTTTCTTTCTTGTTTCTTTCTTCTCATTTTGTCTTTCTTTCTTCCTTTCTTCTTTCTTCCCTCCCATTTTGTCTTTTCTTTCTTTCTTTCTTTCTTTCTTCTTTCTTTCTTTTCTTTCTTTCTTTCTTTTTAGTCCGAATTTTCAGCTTTTCTTTTTAATAGTTTCTGTCCTTCTTTTCAATTTCTTTCTTTCTTTCTTGTTTCTTTCTTTCTCATTTTGTCTTTCTTTTCTTCCTTTTCTTCTTTCTTCCCTCCCATTTTGTCTTTCTTTTTCTTTTTTTCTTTCTTTCTTTTTTCTTTCTTTCTTTCTTTCTTTCTTTTTAGTCCGAATTTTCAGCTTTTCTTTTAATAGTTTCTGTCCTTCTTTTCAATTTTCTTTCTTTTCTTTCTTGTTTCTTTCTTCTCATTTTGTCTTTCTTTCTTCCTTTCTTCTTTCTTCCCTCCCATTTTGTCTTTCTTTCTTTCTTCTTTCTTTCTTCTTTCTTTCTTTCTTTCTTTCTTTCTTTTAGTCCGAATTTTCAGCTTTTCTTTTAATAGTTTCTGTCCTTCTTTTCAATTTCTTTCTTTCTTTCTTGTTTCTTTCTTCTCATTTTGTCTTTCTTTCTTCCTTTCTTCTTTCTTCCCTCCCATTTTGTCTTTCTTTCTTTCTTCTTTCTTTCTTCTTTCTTTCTTTCTTTCTTTCTTTTTTAGTCCGAATTTTCAGCTTTTCTTTTAATAGTTTCTGTCCTTCTTTTCAATTTTTTTTCTTTCTTTCTTGTTTCTTTCTTCTCATTTTGTCTTTCTTTCTTCCTTTCTTCTTTCTTCCCTCCCATTTTGTCTTTCTTTCTTTCTTCTTTCTTTCTTCTTTCTTTCTTTCTTTCTTTCTTTTAGTCCGAATTTTCAGCTTTTCTTTTAATAGTTTCTGTCCTTCTTTTCAATTTCTTTCTTTCTTTCTTGTTTCTTTCTTCTCATTTTGTCTTTCTTTCTTCCTTTCTTCTTTCTTCCCTCCCATTTTGTCTTTCTTTCTTTCTTCTTTCTTTCTTCTTTCTTTTCTTTCTTTTTCTTTTCTTTCTTTCTTTTAGTCCGAATTTTCAGCTTTTTTTTTTAATAGTTTCTGTCCTCTTTTTCAATTTCTTTCTTTCTTTCTTGTTTGTTTTCTTCTCATTTTGTCTTTCTTTTCTTCCTTTCTTCTTTCTTCCCTCCCATTTTGTCTTTCTTTTTTTTCTTTCTTTCTTCTTTTCTTTCTTTCTTTCTTTCTTTTTAGTCCGAATTTTCAGCTTTTCTTTTAATAGTTTCTGTCCTTCTTTTCAATTTCTTTCTTTCTTTCTTTCTTCCCATTTTGTCTTTCTGCCTGTCTTTCTTTCTTCTTTCTTCCTTCTCATTTTGTCTTTCTTTCTTTCTTCTTTCTTTCTTTCTTTCTTTCTTTTAGTCCAAATTTTCAACTTTTCTTTTAATAGTTTCTGTCCTTCTTTTCAATTTCTTTCTTTCTTTCTTTCATTCTTTCTTTTTTCTTTCTTTCTTTCTTCTAATCCGAATTGTCCTTCTTTTTCCCTTTTTTCTCTTTTTCACTTTTCTTTATCTCGTTCTTTACATATTATATTTTCTTTGTCTTTAAATTTCTTTAAATTTTCTTTCTTTTATTTCGAATTATCTTTCTTTCTTGGCATATTCTCTTTCTTTCTTTCTTTCTTTCTTTCTTTCTTTCTTTCTTTCTTCAATATCCATTTTTCTTTTACCCGTCTCTTTTTTTTTCTTTTTTCTTTTTATTTCATTTTCACCTTCGTTCGAGTCTCTTAATTCTGTGCCTATCTACACCAAATCTGCGGTGACAGTTTTTACATTGTTTTATTTTTTTCCCTTTTTCCTTGTTATAAGCTAATCTTAGAAAATCAATTTTGAAAAGTGTTGTAGGAAGACTGTGTTGCGTCGATCTTCCTACAACATTCTGATGCTCTGTTTATTTATTAAACAGTATGTTTATTTATTTTCGCCTATCGACTTGAATATTCGAAAAATCTTATTAACAAAAAATATCCAGGCTTTGACAAGATTCAAATTTGATTCCGCTTGAGCAGAGGAACCGTCTAGATCCGATGTGCTTTAACCGACTCGACCACGAAGAACCTTTGCCAATCAAACAAGGTTGGATAGTTCCTTTAAGCGAAACCTTTCTCGCCATAAATATTCAAAATGTTCACATCCGTTCAGTTTCGTATCCAAACGTAAACAAAGCAATTTCTAAAGAAGTAATGGATTCTTATTTATTAATCCGACAAATTATATCACTTACAACGTTATTTTCAGTGGATATTTACATTTGAGCATAAAAGAAAATTATATAAACGGCGTCTACTCAAATATGTGTATCCGCTAGGAATAAATTTTAAATTGATAAAAATTGTCTTTTTAGAATAGATATATATATATATATATATATATATATATATATATATATATATATATTATAAATTAATTGATTTAAAAAATATGTTTTTCCGCTACACAGTTGTAACCATGTTTCAATTAATTTATAATATTAATGCTCTGTAAATTTACATTGAGCACTATTTTGTAAAAAATAAAAGAACACCGGATTATATATCTTACTGTTCTTTTTTTTTTTAAATACATATATATATATATATATATATATATATATATATATATATATATATTCTACACTACACATGATAATGTGTAATGTTTCTAAATAATGAAAATGTATTAAACCATAGACATGAGTTAACGTTTTTCTGTCGACATCAACAAATTTTCGCATTAAAAAATTAGCATAAAAAAAATCATAGTCTAATAAAAGGTTTAAAAGCTTAACCCAATCATAAGATAGAAAAAACCTTTATGAAGTTGTCAAAAAACAAATTGTAGTTCAGTGCGACGCGTTTAAGTACGAAACTGCCCTTTGGAGAAAATAAATAAATAAATAAAATAAAACAAAATTCTCTAGATACTTCACGATATATTATGGTGCCAAAAGCTGTTGACTGACCAGACGATGTGCGCACATGAATGTCATCTTTCGCTTTAAAATGGATACCCCGACCCTCGGCTTAACCTCTTTCCAAAGGTGACTAATATGTGGATAAAAATTAACTCTTAGGCCCGTTATCAAAACGGTCGCCCCAGTCGTTTCCACAGTAATTGATTTTCCTAATGAACATACTTATGAAGATGCGTAAATTCCAAGTTTGGTTATTTCTAAATTTTCGCTTGAGGTTGAAACAGGGCTTGAAACTCTAATTGAATTTAATTTTAATAATTATATTGAGGTTTTCGGCTCTCGTTTTTGAAACATGAGAACTCTTATGTAGCGAAGGAATCATATTTTTAAATACATAATTATATTTAGGCCCTACTTTTGTATCGAGCATTGTTTTTTAAAAAATAAAAACAAAAATACTAAAGAACTTCGGATTATTTACCTAACGTGTTCTTTCTTATTTTCCTACATATCTGCATACACACACACAAAAATACACACACACACACACACATACACATATGTGTGTGTTTATATATATATATATATATATATATATATATATATATATATATATATATATGTATGTATGTATATGTATATATATATATATATATATTTGGGGAAGGTGCGTGTTATAATTGACATTTGAAAATAAGGCTGTTATAGGACAATTGTTTACTGCTCCTTTATATATTCATTTTCCTTTTAGGCGAGCGTTAGGATCAAATATGGATCGGTATTCCATAGGATGATAAGATAAAGAACAAATAGGAAATATAAAAATATAAAATGGCGATAATTTACCCATCGCACCCTCTATGTATGTATGCATGCCCATATGTGTATGTGCGCATATATATATATATATATATATATATATATACAGAGAGAGAGACAGACATACAGACAAAGAGAGAGAGAGAGAGAGAGTGATAGACAGACAGACAGAGAGCGAGAGAGAGTGAAGGTCAAATGCAGATCAAATATGGATCGTAATCTAACGGTATGATAAAATAAAGAACAAATCGGAAACGTACATTAATCTAACCTTTTTTTTCACTTTTATTAAAGCTTCGTCAGAGACTGAGAAACGTTAGCATCACCGCGCTTTCGACCTCTTAAGTTGTTCAGCTTGGGTTTATTTAAATTCGGTTGAAGTTCGCACCCCCCACCCCGACTACTTCTGTTTTCGAAAATGCTTAAGTTGTTGAACTCTGTGTAGTTGATTTGCTGAACAAACCACCTGAGGAGACCGTAGAGTTCGAAACTGCGGTAGTGTGCTCTGGTCAGCTAAATATTGAACTTAAATATCATGTAGTAGTACCATATCGACTCCTCGGATTTTAATATAATTACAATCCTCAGAGTTCTGTCTCATAATTGCTATTGAATGAAACATTTTTGTGATTTCAAGGTCTGGTATTTTGATAGTTTTTTGAAGGTCTTCAAAGGTAAAGTACAGTCCGCAGTTACTGCCATGTCAATAAAAAATGTTTTTGTAGTCTCTGATTACGATACTCGATCGATTAGCTTTGGTTGTTCTCTCAGTGTGTATCGTAAAATCCCATAAAACTGTTACGTATTCTCGACCATTATGTTAGTCTTTAAATTTCTTAAAATGCTCCATTTAATGCTTGGACTTTTGCTGTCTCTCCCTAAACTTCCAAAAGTAGCTTGGTAGCTTCGTGCTGTACCTATATCTAAAAGATGAGCTGTGTTATTTGAACCCGATTAAAGTTAGAAATATTTTTCTCCCCCCACTACTTCCGGTTTCGAAAATGCTGAAGATTTTGAACTCCGTGTAGTTGATTTAGCTGAACAAACCACTGTAGAGACTGTAAAGGTCGAAAACCGCAGTAGTGTGCCCTGATCAGCTTTCATCCTTATCAAATATTAAACAGCTCTGGTCTTCTGACTTTTATTGAACACTTTTAATAAGTTCAGTTTTTACAAATATCTTACTATTTGTGTTACTCTGGCATATATATATATATATATATATATATATATATATATATGGTACTTATTATAAAGCGCTCAATATCAGAGATAGAGCTAACAGAACTCACATCTATCCAACTAAAAATATATATATATATATATATATATATATATATATTTGGGCACCTAACAGGTTTCATTTCTATTAAAGCTTTGTCTGAAACTGAGAAATGGATTCTGATCAGCTTTCATCATTTTAAATACATACATACACAGACACCCCCCACACACAGATATATATATATATATATATATATATATATATATATATATATATATATATATAAAGGCTCAAACACTAATATGCCATGGTTATAATTTATTACATAATTCATCAGACCTACAAATTACGATATATATATATTTCCTCGACGGAAAAACTGCGCCTAACATGAAACAGCCTGTCGCCTCTGAGTGTTGACTTCAATGTTCACTTTTATATTTATATTTACATACGCTTTATCTCTGATATCGAGCACTTTATCCCGTAAATATGGCACGCCATAAAACTATATGTGTGTGTGTGTGTGTGTGTGTGTGTGTGTGTGTGTGTGTGTGTGTGTGTGTGTGTGTGTGTGTTTTAAGCAAAGTAAACTGTCAATCCTATGCATTGGAATGTTGTTATGAGACCGGTCACGTCTTCTCATTTGACTGCTAATTACACAGCAATATTTAGACCATAGACAGATCCGATGACATATTCACCTTTACAAACAAGGTTGTTATCGCTCTTTTCTCCAATGCCACAACTGTGAATGATAATCGACCTGTACATATTAGGTGTTTTCTGTACCGTTTTACGTATGAAAACGCACCTGATGCAGACACGTTCCCAGGTAAAATGGGCGTTTCTAGGTCATGACAAGAGATATGGCTGGAGAAAACTAGGGAAATTAAGAAGGTTATACCTAATAGGAAGTATTAAATAGTTGGATACTATGAGATAGATAGATAGATAGATAGATAGATAGATAGATAGATAGATAGATAGATAGATAGATAGATAGATAGATGCCAGCTGACTTGCTTTGATAGATTCATATATATACATAGATAAATGAATTCATACATTGATAGATATGGACAGAGTATAATAGATAGATACATTTGAACAGAATGAGATAGATAGATAGATAGATAGATAGATAGATAGATAGATAGATATAAACCGAATGAGATAGATAGATAGATAGATAGATAGATAGATAGATATAAACCGAATGAGATAGATAGATAGATAGATAGATAGGAACAGACATAGATAGATAGATAGATAGATAGATAGATAGATAGATAGATAGATAGATAGATAGATAGATAGATAGATAGATTTGAACAGAATGAGATAGATCGATAGCTAGCTAGCTACATAGATAGATAGGAATAGGCGTAGATAGATAGATAGATAGATAGATAGATAGATAGATAGATAGATAGATAGATAGATAGAATTAAGCAAAATGTTGACAAATTTGAAGGAAATTTTAATAAAAGAAGAAAGTAACAAATGAACAGAAAATTCAATGAAATTCAAAATAATAAAGAAAGAAAAGAAATTAACGGAAAGTAGGAAGGAGAAAAGCTGAAGAAAAGATGAAATTGATTGATTGTTTTTTTGTTTTGTTTTTTTCAGAGTTTATCACCCTTTTTGCAAATTATTTAATGCCAGATATTTTGAGATTGGTAGAATATTTTGGAAATAGCTATGATTTTTATTGATACAGGTTCTACTAATTAACCCATAGCTGGGGCCAAAAGAGATTGATTCATATCTTTCTCAAGCGTACTTGAATATAACGAACCGGAATGGAATTGGAACACGTCTCTTCAATTTCCAATTCTGTGTCCTTATCCATTTCACTACCTGCACATACAATTTTGTTATTATCATTCGGTCACTCATATAGCTACTGATCAAGATCGACGTTGCTTAACTCTAAGCCAATAAAAGCTTAAAGAAAGAATATTGAATTAAATTTTAACGGCGACGGAAATGGAGAGAGAATTAAGTTTTATTTTGAAGAAATGAGAAATATTAGTTGTAAAAAAAACGGCTGTAAAATGAAAGATATATAAAAAGAAACACTGTAAGCAAAATCAGTAGAAGGTAAAAGATAACTTGATTTAACCCCCAAATATAATATTAGGTTGTCCCAAAAGTTCGTAAACACTTGCAAAAAATTGAAATTTTACTCGCCAAGTAATAACAAAAAACTACAAAAATTATTCCTCAAAATAAAGACCATCATTTTCCAAGACTTTCTGCCATCGATCTGCAAGCTTTCGGATCTGGTGAAAGTACCATTCAGCCGGCTTCGAATCGAAGAATTCGTGACACGCTTCCTCGACTTCATCAAACGAGTCGAGTCAGCGGCCCTTCAGAAAGTGTTGCATTGAGCGGAAAAGGCCGTAATCTGATGGAGCACAGTCAGGACTGTAGGCTGGATGTGGCAGAACCTCAACGCCGTCCAGCTCTTCAAACTTGTCTTTGGTCTTCCTGGCGGTGTGTGGCTTGGCATTGTCCTGCTGCATCAAAGCGCGCTTTCGGTTGATCAGAGCCAGGTACTTTTGCTTCAATTTTTCGTAGACCCGCTCCAGTTGCTGACAGTAAAGTTCGGCACTGATGGCACGACCATTCGGAACCAACTCAAAATGCAGGATTCCTTCAAAGTTCCACCAAACGCACAACATGACTTTCTTGCCGAATCGATCTTGTTTTGGAACCAACGGTGTCTCTTGCTCTTTCTGAACCCATCGCTTGTCTCGATTGTGCTGGATTGTGTTGCATAAAAATTCAATTTTTCGCAAGTGTTTACGAACTTTTGGGACAACCTAATATAATCAAAAATAGAACGGTCCTGGTTATGATGATAAACTTCATCCGCATCCTGGGTAAGACGACTAACTACATCCGGCAGTAAGGCCTCTAAGCATGAGGTTTTGAAGAGCGTAGAACCACCTATTAATTGCTGGTGTTCCCAGGTCCACCCTGACCCGGGGTGGTAGCACCTGTTAGCGTTCCAGCTATGGGCAAATATTTAACCCAAAACTGGGATCAAAACATGTAAAAATAGGTTTTAAAGCCAGCAATACATTTTTGTAAAAAATTATTACCAGCAATAAATTTTTGAAGAAAAATTGTTACCAGCAATACTTTTTTTAAAAAATTATAACCAGCAATACATTTTTGAAAAAATATTAACAGCAATAAATTTTTGAAGAAAAAATTATTACCAGCAATACTTTTTTGAAAAAATATTACCAGCAATACATTTTTGAAAAAAAATATTACTAAAAATACATTTTTGTAAAAAAAATATAACTAGCAATATATTTGAAAAAATAATACAAGCAATACTTTTTTGAAAAAATATTACCAGCAATAAATATTTGAAAATAAAAATATCGCCAGCAATATATTCAAAAAAAATATTACCAGCAATACATTTTTGAAAAAAGAAATATTACCTGCAATACATGTTTTTTAATAATATTACCAGCTATACATTTTTGAGGAAAAAAATATTACCAGCAATATATTTTTAAAACAAAGAACATATTACCAGCAATAAAAGTCGTCGGCCTTAAATAACCCATTGAGTTTGATATGCCGAAAAATAAACCAAACCAATCAAAAATAGAAAGAATATATTAGAAAAATATAACAAAAATCATTTCCTTTAACAATAAATAATAATAAACCATAAGTTCAATAATAGTGGTTGAAATAAAGAAAAGAATACTGAACAATTATGTAATATCGATCTTCCTATATAGCAGTGAATGTTGGACCATCTCATCACAGTAGAAGAGAACTGATGCAAAATAATTGTGCTTCTACAAAGGGATGCTGAGATTATCATAGACTGAACAAGTGAGCAACAAGGAAGTTTTAGAGATGAAAACAAAATGGACGCTTATTTCATAGCATCAGAAAGATTTTAAATTTCTAGAGCACATAAGGAAAAAAGAGTGCTTGTAAAATCCTTCACCCACAGGACATTTTAAACGTGAGAGTGACAGAAAAAAATCAGCGCGTAACCTAACTAAGAAACTGGTGTAAATAATTAGCGGTTAGGGGATATAGCAAAAAAGACAAAACGACAACAAAAAAAAAGGAAGTTGTGGAGAAACATGACCGTTCATGTCCTGAAGTATAGATGAAGAAGTAATAACAGCAATAACAATAATAATAATACAATTTTGTGTAAAAATCATGTTAAATCACTGTTATTGCTACTAATAACTCGGTATGGTTGTGTCATCGGCCATTGAAACAGTTCCTACACCCGACTTTTTCTGGTGACAAGGGTGGCTATACAGGGTAAAAAAGAACAATCTGTAATATCTTGCATAGTCAATGTCCATCTAGCACAAGGCGGTCAACGAGAAGGCAGAAATTAGTCCCAGTTGAATCAATGGCCACGTGTCCATGACCAATGTGAGGACGTCAGCTGTGGTTTTGCCACATGAATGAGTACATCACCTCTTTTCAGCTAAGATATGTGGATGGAACTTGTTAAGTGCTCAATTTGCGCAGCGAGCCTATGATCCCACTCGTTCATGGAACTGATGATCATAATGATAATGATGATGATGTAATTGTAGAAATAAAGAAATACGCCCACTTGAAAGCATATGCTTAATCAGTAATATGATATATATCTCTACGATAAAATAATACGAATATATAAGAAAATGTAAATAGGAGCAAAAAAAAATCTTTCAAGAGAAAAAATATATTCAATAACACTGCTTTATCAAAATACGTAGGAGAACAAATGGAAAAAAATATCTCAACCTATAATGGTAAATAATACATGAAGCAATACCATATAATGCTAACAATAAAAACTGCAGACATTTCTGTGAAAAAAAATTACATAATTTCAAAGATTAAATAAATTACTAAAAAAGAATAAAAAATACAATAGAATCCCTCATATCCGGAATCTCTCATATCCGGAGTGTCTCATATCCGGAATCCCTCATATCCGGAGTGCCTCATATCCGGAATCCCTCATATCCGGACCTGATTTTGATGTGTATATTTGAACAATTTGGGTGATATGTAACTGATTTGAAATTTCTGTTTTTCGGTAAATTTAATTTGGATAATTGCTTAGGCTTATTTCACTCTAATGGCTTGTATTCGTGCAAAAGTTGGTGGGAATAAGGGGAAAAGAACAATTTTGGAGTTATCGCAAAAAGTGGAAATTTTAAACGGATTAGACGCTAGTGAATGTTCCTTGTAACTAATGGCTGAGATCCTCATAGGAAAGTCAACATTTTATGATATAAAATATTCCAAAGAAACTATTCTCCAGCGTTCACAATGCCGTAATGAAGAAGGAAATAAAAAAAACATGATTGTGATGAAACCTGGACTGAAATTGAAAAAAGCTACAGAAAAGGTTGTCAGTTTTATGGAAAGAAAGCCAGCATTCAGCTATGGCGATTGCAATAACGTAACAAGAGTTAAAAAGAGTTCTTCGTTTAAAAAATTTCAAGAAGAAAAGCAAAACGAAATTCGGAAAAAGTTGAGAACGACATTAGAAGAGACAGAATTATCATGGAACAGCGATTAAAAAAGTCCTCGTAACATTATTTGTTTTACAAAGATGGCATACTTAATTTAATGAATTTTCATTAACGTTACATAATTTCTTTTTCTTTAAAATCGCTTCCGTTATATTTCGCTAAACATTAGCTTATTTTGTTTACTATAAAACACTGAAAATAAATGTCAAACCAGATTTCTGTTCTTTTATTTTAATCGAAACATAACCCCTCATATCCGGACTTTGTAACCAATTCCTCATATCCGGAAGGCCTTTTTAGTCCGGTTGTCAGGGATTCTACTGTAGATACCTGCTTTGCTATATAAAGCCAGATCAACTTACAGTAGCGTCCAAAAGAAAGAACAACTGTGAAAAGCTGAAATTTTGACAACTGGTAGTCGTTATCATCCATAATAACATACTCAAATTTCAATCATTCGCAAAGGATAGAAAAAAGAATTATAACAATTATTTATTTATTTTCAAAATAAGTTCGTCCAAAAGTAAGGGACAAAATTGAGAAAAACAATGTAAACATTATGCTATATTCAAATTTTTTTGATTTCCTCTAAAGAATAAGTCTTTTGTAAACGTTGCATCAGCCGGCACCATGGCGAAACGCCAAAAACTTGATTACTCTGTGAGACAAGCTATCGTGAAGCTATACAAGGAAAAGTACACCATTAGAGAGATTTCAGAGAAAGTGAAACGTTCCAAGAGTGTTGTAGGCAGGGTTGTTAAATCCTACAATGATACTGGCAAAATAGTTAGTGCTTTTAAAACCGGCAGACTCCGCAAAACTTCGGCAAGAGAAGATCGAATTATGCAGCGTATGTCATTAAAGGACTGTTTTAAGTCTTTCACAGAAATTAAAAGGGTTATGAATAGTACCTCATGTGTTAATGTGTCAAGACAGACTGTTTGTAGACGACTGCAAGAAATACGGCTGTTTAATCGAACCCCAGGGAAGAAACCACTTGTTAGTTCGAAGAATAAGAAGAGATTAGAGTTTGAAAACAGG